GGGCATATATTTTTAACTAGATAAGGTTTCTTTACCTCCAAAGGTCCCCAAGTAGCTGAGGTGTGTGTAAATAACTTATAATCAGCAATTTTTCAGGAACATGGTCATGATGTACAATGAAGTGTCCCTGACTCCACCACGTGTATTTTATTCTTGAGCCAAAAACAGACAAACTCCAGGCCTCTTAAAACCGGATCCAGGGTATGATGTGCATCAACCTAGATTAGCAAGAACCTTGAATTTACCTTCCTTCCTTTACAGTTCTGATTTCATCTGATCTTGTTCATCACTTCATTCTCCCTACCTGTGCTTTTCCTATATCCTCTTATTTGTCATGATATGATGCCTGACTGCTCTGCTTTAAAATTCTCTTCCGAGGAAATGGCCTATGTATAAATGTAACAAATGGGCAATCTCTCTGTGTGTGAAGGCCTTGAACTCAATTCTGGGCAGCATTTACAGAGGGCCAACTGCTGCTATGGGAGGATAAGGGAGGGGTTTCAAATATTTAAAGAGCTCTTATACAGTACGTCTAGTAGGCAAAAGTAGATCCAATAGCTAGAAGTTAGAGCAGAGCAGATTATAACTCAATAAGTTAAATCTCTTCAACTATAAATTCAACATTTGCTTTGTCTAGTATTAAACTGTGTCACTGTACATACTTAACAGTTATGAAAAATTATTTTTGGGAGTATGATAATGATTATGCCAGCATTAGATAGGAAAGAGAGATGTCTAATTTAAGCCAGCTACAATTCTGCAACAAATGATATTATGTAGCATTTCCATAATTGAGCTATACACCCTACACATATGTGTGATGATGCAGGTTGACTGAAATTGAACTTTAGGAAGATTACCCATCCCTGACCCCATAACAGTGGGTGAATCTATCCTAGATTTGGACAAAAACCAAGCCACAAATAATTTTTGAAGGTCAATGGGATTGGGAAAGATAAGTAGTTGAATGATCAGAACATTCAAGATAAAAAGCTAATGGACAAAAGAGAAAGCTGTGCATATGAAACTAACATGGATTCTAGCTTTTCTATTCTAAGTAAGAAGAATAAGAAAGAAAGAAAATTATCTCCTCTGACCCTACCCACAACTGCATGGGCAGCTACTAAATTAGAAAAAAAAAATTTCTATTCCAAAATGATCCTGTAGATAACACCCTTCTTGACAAAAATGCCACTGGACTGGCAAAGATTTCTAAAAAGGATTAAAAAGAAGCTTCTGAAGCTTTTTATGGAAAAAAGTCAAAAGGTAAGATATGTATAAGAACACTAAGATTCACCTTCCTGACTGATGCTGTCTTAGAAGTCTGCAAATTCTTGTCATTTCAAAGGCTAATTATGACATCATGTTAATATATGGGAATCTAGTCTGTTCCCATTCTCTAGACTCATGAACCCCAAATAACCACAGCATTTTCTTTGCAGCAGAAAGTTTTTCTTGCACTGTTGCTACTCTTGCACTTTCTTCTTTAGGAAGCTGTAAGTAAAAATAATAGCAGCCGGAGGTGGGGGGGTGGTGCCATGCAATTTGCCACAGCAAATTTTAGTGCACTTATTCCCTGCAATTCACCCATGTGTTGTCCCTGCCTTGAAAAGAAGGTGAACAACAACAAAAAAATAACTTCATATGTTGCCAGTGTTTTCCACCAAGCCATGTCACATTGTTCCATCATCCCAAATTACAAATCTGCCTGTACTCCATCTTCACACAAATCATCTGCCTTATACACACACCCATGATGAAAGAAAAAAGAGAGTTTCAAAGAATCAAGTCACACCAGCACTGCACTTTTAATATACTCCAAGAGATTCACTGGAAGTGAAAAATAGAAAGTCATTGATAAAACATAAAGCTGTAGAAATATACATAGTCTAAAAGTATCTCCCCACAAATCACTTCTTAAAATTAGGAAGGGGAAAGTCATCATTTTAAAATAGAGAAACCTGGCAGACACTACCTTAATCAAGTGACTAAAGTTAAAAATCATGGGTAGTGAAACAAACCTAACATCTTGTGCTTTCTGATCTGATGCACCGAGAGCACAACACTTCTCTGATGTTCTTGAGAAATCAGAATATAATCTCAAGGAAGCAACAAACCCAGTCTGAGAGTCTACAAAATTCTGGCCTATGCGCTCAGAAAAGTTTTAGTTCATGAAAGAAAAGGGAAGCAAGAAAACAAGAGTGTTATGGCAGAGCATACTAAGGGGACTTGGGAAAAATGAAAACTAATGTGATCCTGACCCAGAAAAGGGGCAACTGACAAAATCTGAATTAAAATCTGTAGATTAGGTAATGCTGAATGAAGGTAAATATCCAGAGTTGTCCCATCATGTTAACACTATATTTCTGGTTATACAATCAAGCATCCTTGGTTTTAGTAAACATACATACAGTGAGGTATTTACAAGGACACTGTGTCTTTAAATTACTCTCAAATTTTCAGGGAAAAAAATATATATACCTATACACACACATGCACATTCCCACATGTGTATATGTATGCTTCTATGTAAACAGAAGAGAGAAAAAATGATCAAATAAATATGATAAAATGTAGAATGTTAATATCTGGGGAATCTGGGAAACATAATATAGGAATTCTTTCTAACAATTTTACAACCTCTCTGTAAATAAAAAGTTTTTAACTCTCAAAAGAAAAAACAAGCCAAGTAGGCCTGAGGTTTTTGAGGAGGGAGTTGGAGGAGGAGTAGGAAGGCAGTGGACCCCCATCTATTTCCTTCTCCCCCACGCCCAACACTGAGAAGCATTATGACCTGGGTTTCCCTGAAAACTACTTTGGGAGACCCTGCAGTGAACTTCCTTAGGGTAGCCCTATATCTCCAAATCCCCAGAGCCTAACAAAGAGCCTAACATATAGGAGAAGCTTAAGAAAAATTTAATGACTGAATGAAGAAACTATAAGTACTACTCGAAAGAAACTGTGGGTAAATCCCAACCTGTGGTATACCATCTACAAAGCCGGTCGAACTGAGGTCCTCTTGTATAAATAATTAGGTGAGAGTAAAGGGCAGGAATAAAGAGTAAGATCTGGTCCTTCTCAGGGGGTCTTCTTTTTATTGAAAACAAAGGAGGACTATGCATGTACCCTCCAACTGGCCACGAGGGGCATGACTCCTCTGGGTGAGAAAGGGTAGATTTTCCAATTACTATGTGTTCCGGCATCCAAGGTCACTACTAGATCCCTTGTAAGCTATTTGATGCACTGAGTTAAGAAAAAATAAAGACCTAAGATGCCCTAAGATAGCATTTAGAAGTGAAGCAGCTCTGTATTTTAGTAAATCCGTCCCCATGAAAACAAGTGTTAGTCTGTTCTGATCTTACCTCCCAAACCAAGTAGGACTTAGTTTTTCATGTTCATATTGACTATGCACAGGAGGTCTGAAATTGGAAGCATTTTAATTACTGAAGTTCAAGAAAGCATTGAAAACCTTGTTTAACAGGTGGAAAAAATTTAGCTAAAATTTAGCCAAAATTCAAAATTTAAAAATTTAAAAATTTAGCTTTAAAAATTTAGCTAAAATTCAAAGCAACCCCAATAGATTGCTTCTCAAGAAACCTTCAATTCTAAATAGAGTTGAAGGGGGAAATATATAATCCATTGGCCACTTAAATATATAATCCATTTAAGTATTAATGGATGTTCCTATAACTTTCAGAAAACTGGGACCTGTAAGAAATGGGCTTTTTGGTGGAGGACTCTGGGTGCTTTGGTGATGGGAGATCTATGGTGACCACAGCTGACAGGAGAGATCCTATACTGTCAAAATACAATATTAACTAGGTTGTAAAACAATGGTTCTTCATTAAAAAAATTAAAATTAAAAAGTGCTTTTTCTAGCTGCAAAGACACAATTTCACAAGCATGGACATTATGTGGTAATATTCCAGAAAAAAATTAAACAAGGCAAAACATGGCACATAACAGAGGGCAGGACTCCAAATTGCAAACCTGATTTGCATATTAATTCAAATAGAGACCTTTTTGCTTTAACAAATAACAATTTTCAAGGAATCTTTAGGTAAGATTGCCATGCTCAATGGTAGGGACTTGAACAATTTATTTGAAAATGAGCTCATATGGCAAACCCAAATCATAATGGGAATAAAAATCTTTCCTAATCAATAAATAATAAGCAGAAATCCCTCAGGGAAACTGGGGCAGGCTGTCCTCTTTTCCTCTTTGGGAGGTCAAGTAGTTTTCTGTCAGAAGTCAGTCACTTCCTCTAACTTAATTATTTCAGACAGATATTTAACTCACCCTCAGCATTTCCAGTATTAGTTTGATCCTAACAACCTTCAGCTTCCTAACACACATTTCAAAGCCATCCCACCTCTCTGAAACGGACATATCATAACTCCTTCCAGGTTCTCTCAAGGATGTATTGTCCAGAGGACTGGGACAAAGATAGAGTGCAAGAAAGATACCTGCTGAAACCCCAAGAGCAGTCATTTCCTATCCCGTATGTGCTGCATACCCCTTCTGTCCCAGACATGGTTTAGTCCTTGAGTTGCCAATAGCATGGCTCTGTCAACGCCAGCTAAAATTGCCAAAAATTTTGGTAACCTGAGGCCTGACCTAAGGGTTCTGGAAGAGACTCCTGCATGGAGTTCAGATAGAACTTCACATCTGTATACAAACAGATAGAGGGCATATGTCAATACATCCGAGTCAACCTCTCCCACCCACCCCTACCCCACACTCATTTCATTTCTCCAAGAGAACCCCTTCTTCTGATAACCTTGGACTCTTATGCAACAGGGATGATAATGGCACTTCAGTCAAAATCATGTCATTGCCCAGTTTTTGCTGAAGAAGCAGCAAAGACACTGGACCGAAGGATACTATGACAGCACTTGGAATCTGAGCCTTTATGGTGCTCACCAGCAACTGGTGTGATATTACCAATGAAAAATGCAGAAGCTTTGCTTCTTGGTCCCCACCCAACTGGTTCTTCTTACCTTTGGTTCCATTGAAATGAAACTGTGGGTTCCTCTGCTTGAGAGAACTGACCTTTTAATCGTCCTGCTATGGTAGAAGTGGTAGTAGTCCTTCAGCGCCCCAATCTGCCAAGGCAGGAGGGAAAGAAGAAAAGTGAGAGTTAAGATATGAACAGTCTTCTCTTGCCTGTTTTTCATCAAAAACGAGGACACAAAACAATAAAGTCCATAAATTATGCAGCGGCCTGTTAGGCTTAAGTGTTACTTGAACTTGGTGATCACTTTTCAAAAGAAAGACAAGTGCTATGAAATGGAGTGTCCTTGAGGCAGTGACTGAGTAACTAAAGATTATAATGGGGCAGCTTAACCCCTCCACAGCTCCCTTTTAATGTTTCATTTATATGCAGCACTTTAAGTAATTTTATATCAATCTATATCCAAATGTGGGAAAGAGAAAAAAAATCAAATAGCTGTCTGGTTATAAAAACATATTGCATTTTGTTTGCGCTGAGAAATGTACAGTGAAGGACCTTGTTAGATTATTTATATCATTAATTTGAAACGAGTCCTAAGCAGTTGATCATTCACAAAGAAAACACTACTTAGCTTGTTTCCTGACTTCAGTAGACAGCATAAACACACAGCAGTTATTCATCTGTTGCAAAACTAAAAGTGGAATAGCAATTTCCTAAAAAAACAACAAAGATCACAATATCCTACCTACCAGCCTAGCTTCCTGTGGAAAAATAGTTTGATCCGCCTTATCTTAATCATTTCTTTAATAAACTAGTCTCCTCATTTGTGTATACCTTTCTCTAGTTAAAAGCTTGGTCTGTTTAGGATAGATTTAATAATAAGTTTCTGTCCACTTTAGGAACAAAGTGCCTAACAATCATTTTCTCAGCAGATTATGAAGTGTGGATCATAAAATGGAAAACAAACTATACAAGAAACTAAGATAGAGAATTTGGTCCTCATTCCTGCTTACATTCACCAGAAGTGTCTTCTGGGTTAAGCTTCCTATACTTACTATAACTTAGCTTCCTTTTTAAAATTGGACTTTGCCCTAACTTCTAAAATCACTCACTGCCTTTCTAAAATTCCATTCTTTGACACTAACACATTTCTTGCTTTGGGAAAATATATTCAGTGGCTTTTTCTCTAGAACACCAGGCTCTTTCTCTTTCCTCCCCTAAAAGAATGAACATCAACACAATATTTTCCAATTAGGACAATTCAAAAATTGAGCACTTCTAATTTTAAAAAAGTCATTTTTTGGTTTCCTCAACTTAATTTTTTCAAATAAAAGATTTTTTACACCCTTCTTTTTGTACATTCTCAACCATTGTCCCATCTGCCCAATTTCTGTGCCATATAAGTCATGTCCTCACTGGGACCTCAGGCTTGGACTGAATGTCTCTTAAATCATTCAATTTGAAAGTCTGAAGTCTAGCATTTTTTATTTAAGTGGAAACTACTGTAATGTATACAGAAGGGATCCTGGACTCTGAAAGCAAGTCGGGGAATGAGGACAAGGAAATGCCAGCTGAAACCTCTCATCTCAGGGATCCCGAGCTCTGAAGCAGCAGCAAACAATGAGGAGAAAGCCACAGATGACAGTCTCAGTCTCCAAAAGGGTTTCAAGGAGGGATTTGCAGGCCAATTTTAAGGTTCCAGAGGACTGGGGGTAGAATTCAGGAGGCACCTCCTAATCCTTCACAAGAAAACATCAAAATCTCAAGAAGCTTAGAGCTTTCATCTCAAGGAATTTTCTCAAGAGTTTACCTTGAGTAAATACAGTAGTTCTTGTGGAAACACTGAATTGAGGGAGAACTTTACAGATAATCCATCACCACTGTGAAAAACACCAATATGGGGAGCCCAAATGTACACAGCAAGTATTGTGAGGCGACAAAGTGGAAATCCTTGCTGAATGGAGGGACTCAGGTATGTTTCATGGTGACCCTATGAATGGGCTCAAAAGATGCAATTCCAACATCCTTCTGGTGAGTCTTTCCTGTGCTGCAGAGTTGAAAGCTAAACCCTCTGGAGGTTTCTTAATGTGATTAAGAGTCTCCTAATCATCGGCAGATGACAGCACCATGAAGATATACATGCTTAGCAGTAGTCCTGCAGAGTTTTTAGTATTCAGTGGCTAGCTTTCTGGGCATTTGTTTGCATACCCTGTTTTGTTGAGAAGAGACTGTAGAAGAGCTACAGGGCTAACATAGGTAACTTCCCCATGCCTCGATTTCTTGATTGAGTCAGATGCAGCATCTCTCATGGATGCCACAGAATAGTGTGGCTTTGGGAAGACATTTCTGAAAGCTTGGACCCCTGATAGCTTCTATAAGATGCCCAATAGTCTACAGCAGACCTAGTAGCAAATTCAGCAGTGGTTCCCCTGAATAGCCAAAACTGGATAGATCAGACTTCTGAAAATGCTATACCTTTACATAATCTTGTGCAACTTTGTTAAGTACCTCTTGAGTGAACTGTAGGCACAGTGAGCCAGAGACTACTAAATGGCCCACCGTATCAGCTCTGACATCTCGTTGGATGACTACTTGTTTCTGGTCTTCTCACAGCCATCTGGACCAACCTACTCTTTCAAATCTGTTTTCTAGACAGTAGCCAGAACAAGGTTATAAGTGCAAATTTGCTATATCATGACATGCTATACCATGTCATATTCTAGCCTAAAATCCTTTATTGGCCTCCCCTTGCTCTCACACAGTATTAGCTAGCATTTAATATTATTTAATAATAGTTTTAAAACTAAATCAGAATAATCTTATCAACATTTATGCTGTGCCAGGAACTTTTCTAACTTGTTGAAAGAAAACCATTGTCCAACTCTGATCTACAGGGCCTGCATGACCCAGCCCAGCACCGTCTTTAACCTCACCTCCAATCACACATGCTCTCCATTCCCTGGACTGCATCCAGCCTGGTCTTGTTCTGTTCCTTAACTCTGTGCTGTGCTTGCTCTAACCTCTAGCTGAAGCACCCTCTCCTACCTCCACCCTCTTCTTGTTTCTCATCCTCACCTTGATGTCTCACCTCAAGCAGCACACAGTCTTTAAAACTCCCCAGACTAGGTCAGGTTCCCTTATTATGTCATCTCACAGAATCATAAGAACATATCTGTAGTAATATGTTGATTAGTGTAAGTTTAATGGCATTGTCCCCATCTGCATGCCTGCTCTATGTATTCCAGTGAAGCAAGGACATATCTATTTTGCTCACCATTTTGTTCCCAGCTCCTGGCTGGCAGCTCGAAACATAATAGTTTCTCAGAAAGATTGCTGAATGAATGATATGATGATAATCAGAATCCTTGAATTGCTAAAATTACATTGATTAGGGTTATATGTGATTCTGCATCTCTAGAGTAAATATCACAGAGCTATCAAAGTGAGGCTAATTTTCAGCAAAAATGGTTTAATTCTATCTTAATTGAAGTGTTCTTTCTGCCAAAGGCTATGGCTCTTTGGGTTGCAGGCTAATATACCTCTCTGATTTTTTTCTATTTTGTGAGACAACATTAGTTCAATTATTCTACCTCATCCAAATAAAACAATCTGTCACCTCCCAGAATTTTATATATATTTAAAAGCAAGTTTATTTTTCTCATCTATTAATATGCATGTCCCTATTGGCAAGAATTGTGTCTTTTATATTCTTTCAACAGCACTGAGCAAGCTGAGGGCATTTAATAAACATTAAGAAGAAAAATGTCATAATATGTAGGGAGTTATTCAAAAGAAAGACAGTGTATGAAAACAGAGCAGTAATATTATCTATAAGCAGGCAGTCCATCTACCTCCTCTGGGGTAATGTAAAACAAAAGATGACTGTATTTATTTGTTATGCATTGGCAACAAGGACTAAAAAAGAAACAATATATAACTAATCGAGGGGCATTTTATACATGAATCAAGAACCCTAAGAGTATTCATGAAATATGAAATCAATAACAGATCAAAGCTCCACTTTTTCCTTAACACCACATAAAGGAAGGAGAATATTCCTTCTCTCTGAGCCCTTATAAGTTCCTCTTCTGTACAGTGACTTACACACTTTTCCCTGCCTAGCAACACAACTGTGTATAATACTGAAGCGATGACTTTGATCCCAATTCTATCATGTCTTTGTGCTTATCCTTCCTTAGTGGCAGCCCATCACCCCTATACCCAGAACTGTGCTATCACTCCTGTTTCTCAAACCAAATTGTCTTCTTAGGAAAGGCTTTTTGATAAATGATTTTACACTAACAGGTATATGACGGGTAAGACTCAATATCTTAGTTCTTCCAAGAAAAACTGCACTTGATCAGAAAATTAAAACTTGAGCCAAATAAATGAGTCCATCATGTTTGCAATTTGTAAAAACAGTCATTGCCCAGAAATAATTATTGGAGGGCTGTTTTTTTTCCTAACAGCAGGAGGGAACCGTCCCAGTGTCTCTAAATTGTCACATCACAAGCTAGCTACTAACTTCTAAGCAAAGGGCAGGGAGCAAGAAGACCTTTATTTAATACTGGCTTTCTCTGTGTTAAGGAGCACTGTCACCAAAGAATTCATTGACCCCTACAGTCTCACCTGTGCTTGCATCTAAAACCCTCAGCAGTCTACGGCTCCAGGTGCAGAGTTGGCAACCTCCTTAGGTTCTGTAGGCTGATCAACTGTTTCCAGGCATACAGGGCTTTTCAGCACCTAAACTGAGGCAGTCTCAGGCAAACTGGGTGAGTTGGTCAGTCTAGTTATGAAGTGGGAAGGCCAGGGATGCTGCGGTCACATTGAGGAACCTGTTGGATCTCTCAGGCTTCTTGTTCGCCTTGTTTTCCTGCCAGCCCTCTCCAAGGGACAGATCTCCAAATTCTGTTCTCCTTTTGGATAAGTTATGTGCCTCCATTCAACAACCAATTTTATGGGTAAAATTTGAACAAACACCTTACAAAGAAGACTTACAAATGGCCAAAAAGGGGGAAATTGCTCAAATGCAAATTAAAAGCATAATAGTGCTACACCCACAACAGAATAGTTATCATTTAAAAGACAGACAACAACCAGCTCTAATGGGACTGTGGAGCATTTGTGCTCTCATATATTACTAGTGGGAGC